TCTTTACCTGATATTGGCTTTGCTGCTGTTCAATTCTTTTCCAGCCTGTATGCTAATGAAGATGATGTAGATTCATAAGAAATCCTGCAGTATATTCCTCAGATTGTTACTCAATCAGACAATGATTTTCTTTCTTCACTACCTTCAAAAGAAGAAATTAAATCAGTTGTTTGGGAACTTAACCCAAATGGATCTGCTGAACCTGGTGGTTTCAATGGGAAGTTTTTCAAAAAGTGTTGGGATATTGTGAGTGATGATCTAGTTCTTGCAGTTCAAGATTATTTCTTGGGAACTCCTATCTCTAAAGGCATCTCTAGTACTTTTGTTATCCTTATTCCTAAATGTGAATCCCCCTCCTCCTTCTCAGACTTCAGGCCTATTTGCCTCTCAAATTTTGTTGGGAAAATTTGCACCAAAGTACTTGCTTCAAGGGTTTCTACAATCCTTCCTAGGATTATTTCACCTGAACAAGCTGGTTTTATGAAAGGAAGGGATATTGCTGATCAAATCCTAATAGCACGGGAAATGGTTCACTCTATTGATAAAAAGGTGCGTGGATCTAATGTTATCATTAAATTAGATATGGCAAAGGCTTTTGACGGATTATCTTGGAAGTTTCTGAATGATATCCTCTCTAAATTTGGATTTTCTGACCACATTGTTAAAGTTATTATGGATAATCTTAAAGCTACACATCTTTCTATTCTTGTTAATGGCACGCCTCAAGGTTATTTCCAGCCTAAACGTGGGGTCAAGCAAGGAGATCCTCTCTCTCCTTTCCTATTTATTATAGCTTCTAATGCTTTTTCCAGGGGTATTAAGTGGCAGTTTGAAAATAATATCATCAAATCTTATTGGATGGGAGCCTATGGTTATCCTATTTCTCATTTGGGATTTGCTGATGATCTGCTTATCTTTTTAAATGGTGATTCTTGTGGATCGTTGTGCTTACCGCTACACTAAAAGCAACCGCTGATAGCGTAGCACGATCCTCCCCTTTATAGCACAAGCGAAGCGCCACGCGGTTCGATTGCACCGGCAGGCTGGCAGATTGCTGGCACCGCATACCCGCGGCCCAACAATCTCCCCCCAGCTTCTGCCAGCCTTCAACTGTGCAACATGCTGTTTCCGGGGGTCGAACCCGTGACCTTGGCTCTGATACCACTTGTGGATCGTTGCGCTTACCACTACACTAAAAGCAATCACCGATAGTGTAACACGCTCCTCCCCCTTTATAGCACTAGCGAAGCGCCACACGGTTCGATTGCACCGGCAGGCTGGCAGATTGCTGGCACCGCATACCCGCGGCCCAACAATCTCCCCCCAGCATCTTCCAGCCTTCAACTGTGCAGCATGATGTTGCCGGGGGCCGAACCCGTGACCTTGGCTCTGATACCACTTGTGGATCATTGCGCTTGCCACTACACTAAAAGCAATCGCTGATAGGGTAGCACGCTCCTCCCCCTTTATAGCACAAGCGAAGCGCCACACGGTTCGATTGCACCGGCAGGCTGGCAGATTGCTGGCACCGCATACCCGCGACCCAACAATCTCCCCCCAGCATCTGCCAGCCTTCAACTGTGCAGCATGCTGTTGCCGGGGGTCGAACCCGTGACCTTGGATCTGATACCACTTGTGGATCGTTGCGCTTACCGCTACACTAAAAGCAATCGCTGATAGTGTAGCACGCTCCTCCCCCTTTATAGCACAAGTGAAGCGCCACGCGATTCGATTGCACCGGCAGGCTGGCAGATTGCTGGCACCGCATACCCGCGGCCCAACAATTCTAGATCCCTACTTAACTTTAAAAGATTCATTCATCTATATCAAAAAGCTTCAGGCCAGTTGATTAACTTTCATAAAAGTTTTTTTGTTTGTGGCAAACAAGCTAAAAGAAGAAGCAGTCAGATAAAGGATCTTTTGGGTATGGAGAAACATTCATTACCTTTCAAATACCTGGGTGTTAATCTTCATAAGGGCATCAACAGATTTCACCACTACAATCATCTTATTCATCAGATAGATGCTAAACTAACACCCTGGAAACAAAGAATGTTAAATCAAGGAGGGAGGCTTATGTTGATTAAACATGTTCTTAGCACAATCCCTTTGCATCTTATGGCTATTGAGACCCTGCCAAATAAAGTGATCAGAGTTATTGAAAGCAAAATGGCTAACTTTTTCTGGGGGTCCAATAAAGGTAAAAATAATTATCATTGGAGGAAATGGAAAGTCTTTGTCTTCCCACAGAAGAAGGAGGATTGGGGCTTAGAAGATTAATTGACATTCAGAGAGCTTTTTCCCTAAAATTATGGTGGAAATGGAAGAATTCTTCTTCCTTATGGACAATTTTTTTCAATGCTAGATATCCAAGAGGGGGAGGGGATGAGATGCTTCTCAAATTTACTGATTCCCCAATCTGGAGAAGACTAGTTTCAATAAATGATCTAGCTCTCTCTATTTGTGATAAGGACTCTTCTGAAAACTAGATTTGGTCTCCTGACAGAAAAGGTGTTTTTTCTTTTAAATCAGCTTATGAAGAATTTAGACAGAAATATGTCTCTACATTTATTAATAAGCATCTCTGGCATCAAAAACAGCAGCTTAAAATCAGAATCTTCCGATGGAAGATTCTCAATAGATTCCTTCCTTTTAGGGAAAACCTCACTCGCTTTAATCTAATTCTCAACCCTTCCATGTGTCCATGGTGTAGGGCTCATGTTGAGAATATGAATCATGTTTTTTATCTCTGTCCTAAGGTAAATCCTATTTGGACTTATTTCTATACTATTCTGGACATTCCTCAAACTGGTACCTCAGTGAGACAAGTTTTATTCCAATCGTGGCTTTGTGCTGGCAGCAAGACTTTGGTTGATATTTTTAAGATTAACCTATCAGGATTCATTTGCTGGCATATTTGGAAAATTTATTCAAGCTTAATTTGGGGCTCTGGTCAGGCTATTACCTCTGTGGATAACATCATTTGGCAAATTAAGCTTTATACACAATCTTGGGCTGTCAGTTTAAACGGAATGAAGATTTTATTTGTTGGTGATGTTCTAATCTCAGAACAACTTGTTTCTCCCTCATTCCGTTTCAACTTTCGAATTTTCAAGCCAATTCGTTGGGTTCGACCGAAAGGTAGGTTAAAATTAAACATTGATGCTTCTTTCTTACCTCATAAAGCAGCGGGAGGAGCCTCGATGAGAACGAGAATGGTGAATTCCTTTTTGCCATTCAGTTTCCTCTTCGAGCGACTTCTAGTTTGGAAGCGGAACTTCTAGCTTTGAATACATCAATTCGTTGGGCGATGGATGCTGGATTTGTTGATTTTCAGGGGGAAATTGATGCTCAGGAGGTTTTGGATTTCGTTTTTGGAAAGCAAACAAGGAGATGGAGTGTTTTTTGGCTTCTATGCTGGGGAAAGCGAATCGGGCGCATATATCTTTTGGGCGAGTTCTTCGGGAAGGCAATTGGCCGGCCCATTATTTGGCTAAGAATAGTGTGGCCCGAATCCATGTCTTCTCTAATATTAATTCTCTTCCTCCTATTGTCAAAAGTGCTTATTATTTAGATCTTTTTAATATTCCTTCATTTAGATGCTTGTTGTAATTTTGTTATAAGAGGTTTGGTTTGGTCCCCCTCTTATGTTGTAATTTGGATATTTAATTTTGAATAAATTCCAGCAAATGATCCCCTGACATTTGTCTCACTGATTTTGGTGGTTTGCCTTCCGGGGTAAAAAAAACAATAACTCAAGGCTACACTGGGATGACTGGATGAGACATAGAATCAATTAGCCCCCAAAGATCAATCATATTCACTAACCCCCGCACCGATGTAGAACTTGCTACTAAAATGAGAGGTAACTAAACAAGAATTCTTTAAATAAAAGCAACAAAATAATTCAAGCATCTCGGTTTTACTAGCCACCTTGAAGGGAGAAGATGTTTGTCCATCCACCTCCAAAGGAAGCATCTCGATTTTATCAGCCACCGGGAAAGGAGAAGAGGTTTGACCAGTCACCTCCAAAGGAATAATCTCGTTTATGGGACATGTCAGTATTTTAGGCGGTATTGTTTCGGGAGCGCCGCCGCCTTGCCGTTTTTTTATCCCTCGCCATCAACCTCTTCCATTGACATCCTTTCGTAAACCTGATTTATGCTCTCCATTAATGGTCAACAAAATAAACGCCGAATTCGGAACAGAGAAAAAGAAGCAGCAGAGCACACGATCAAAAGCCCAAGCACTCTTCTAGGTAGATTAGGTCTCCACCGCACTCTAGGGTTCGTCCATCATCGATCGCCTGTAATAGATCGATAGAAATGTTGAATGTTAAATGTTTTGGTATTATTGCAGATTTGTTCGGTAAAAATATAATTCGGTTTTTATGTTTACTCCTATTTGGAATAATCTCTCACTAGTTTTAATTAAAAAAGAAGCTTAATGGACATAAGAATATAGTTCGTTTTAAAAATAAATGGGAAAACTATCAATTTGATTCTTGTACTATTACGAAAACGTCAATTAAGTCTTCGTACTTTAAAAAAATCAATCAAATCCCTAAAGTTTAAAGAAACATTTAATTGAATCCATTAGCAGGTTACCTGCCACATCAACAAGTCATCTGCTGACGTGGTATACATGTGGCAGCACACTCATCGGTGGATTTGTTGACGTGACGCAATTGTGGAAGCCCAGTCAGCCATTCTCCGATGATATGACGCACACGTAACCCTCATGTGTGCGTCACATCAGCGGTGAGTTGTTAACATGACAATAACTTGCTAATTAATTCAGTTGAACTTTTAAAAATGTTCCAAAAATTTGATTAATTTTAGTACAGCATCAAATTGACTTCGCCTCTAACAAATTTGTCCTTAATCAAAAGAGAAACCCTATTGCAAACCATGATCCATACTGGTTCTAGAATCTTTTGTGGCATCAGAACAGCTCCGTCCATTGCTCTTTCACGGAAAGTCTATCCTCTCCTTGTATCTGCTTCTCAGCTTCAGGTTCGCCTCATGGCCGACTCATCTGCTCCTTTCAAGAAAGTTCAGATTCAGAGGGATGACACCGTATGTATTCACTACTCCATTTATGTATAATAAAGAGAAATGCTTTTTTTTAATCAAAAAGAGAAATGCTTTTAAAAACGTAAAATCGGTGCGATAAAAACCAGTCGTAAGAACCCATTACCTTATATATGTACAATTTTCTGATTTTGTTGTATAATCCATTACCTCATATATGTTCAGGAAATTATGTTGTCTATCTTACACACTGATTGAGTTAAGCAAATCGCTAAACCATAAAGAACAACAAAATTCATCTGATCAAGATCAGAGCGACTTTGATACGAATGCTAAATACCTTTCCTGCTTTCCATTTATTCAAATAATATATTCAATCGTTTAGTTGATCTTCGGTTGATCAGTTCGTTAAACTATTTGTTCTACCTATCAAAGCTATAAAATTTTCTGCAATCTATGTGGTTCGTAGTTGGAACTTTGATAGTTAAGAGCTTGCCTGGGTGACTTTTGTCAGTCTTTAATTGTCCATTGGCGCACAGAACAGTCAAATAATCGTAGAGTACTAGTGTGCCAGGGCACCTTGTGTATTCTTTTTTTCTAGACTACATATTTTTTGATCTTATATTATGATGTAAACCAGTTTCTCTCCTCTGAAATGCTTAATATTTTTAATGAAATGAAACGAGCAAAGAAATCACATGGAGGATTAGGTTTGAAGTTTTTCTATAGATGTCCATTTGATGGATTTTTATCATTTGTGGACGAACATGTTGGGTTTTGTACTAAAAATTTTATTGTAACTATTTGTGCACTTATTTTGGCTTCAGTTTTTGCATTTAATATTGCCAAACCTCATGGCAACCAAAAATCTGATCTTATGATCTTTTTCTTGCAAAAAATATCAACCAGACATTTGATGCATATGTAATTGGAAAAGAAGATGCTCCTGGAATTGTTGTGCTTCAGGAATGGTGGGGTGTGGACTTTGAGATAAAAAACCATGCTCAGAAGATCTCTGAATTTGACTCTGGTTACAAGGCACTTATACCCGAGTAAGACCCTTGTACATAAGTTTAGTTCTATTCGCCCCTTCTCTGAGAGGTAAAAGAGCGCAACTTGATTTTTCCATTTCAATGTTAGTCTGTACCGTGGAAAAGTTGGATTAGATGTTGCAGAAGCACAACATTTGATGGAAGGGCTTGATTGGCAAGGAGCTGTGAAAGATATTCATGCCTCAGTTAATTGGCTAAAAGAGAATGGTTCAAAGAAGGTTGTTCTTTTCTGCTTCGTAATTCCTATAAATATACATGTTTATATGTACTCTTAAATTGGCGCTTAATGGAAAAGGGTAAGAGATCAGGGTTTAAGATGAGGAGAATTACAATTTTATTGGAGTTCTCATGCTTTCTCTTACAAGTTGGAGTAAGAAACTCTTTAAACAATAAAAACAGCATTACCACATTCTTTGGAGTTGACAGTCTTTCTGGTACAAATGGGAGGAAAAAAGTTTTCCAAACAGTAAAAAAGCAGTACTACAATCTCTATGTATGGAGTATCCCTCCATACTATTTGATGACCATTTTGAGTTGTCTGCTGTTCAATGGTTGTACCCTTTAGTCATCTGTTAGTTGAGCTTTATATACTTCATATGTTGCATCTTGGGTTTGATCAACTTTTGATAAAATTAGGAATAAATTTGGAGAAGAGTTTAATTGATGTATGAAGAAGAGTTTAATATATGGAGAGATACTTCTCCTTCGTATCTTTATTGAACAATGCATATGCCATATTTATAGCATACATGCATGGCAGATGATTACAAGAGAGAGAATACAACTTGCATGGGTCATGCAAGTAGGCATGCAGTACAAGCCAACTTATTACATGTGTGATAATATATAATAAGAATATAATAAGAATATTAAAAATACCAAATATCTCAATACTCCCCCTCAAGGTGGAGTGTGAAGATTACGAACACCCAACTTGCTTCGAAGATAGCGAAAATGATCTGTCCCAAGTGCTTTAGTAAAAATATCGGCCACCTGATTACTCGTGCAGATAGACAATGGTCTAATTTCATTACTAGCAACCCTCTCTCGGACGAAGTAACAATCTATTTCAACGTGTTTGGTACGTTCATGAAAAACCGGGTTAAGCGCAATATGTCGGGCGGCTTGATTATCACAATAGAGCGATGTAGGGCTCACTTGAGGAACTGTGAGATCTTTTAGTAACCATCGTAACCACAAAATTTCATTAACTGTGACGGCCATAGCTTGGTATTCTGCTTCAGCAGAAGAGCGAGAGACAACAGACTGTTTCTTCGTTCGCCAAGATATGGGTGAATTACCAAGGGTGATGAAATAACCAGTACTGGATCGACGAGTGAAAGAGCATCCTGCCCAATCAGCATCACAATAGCCTTGCAGGGTGAAGTCCTCTTCAGAAGACAAGAATATACCCTGTCCTGGTGTTTGTTTTAAATACCGTAGTACCCGTATGGCAGCGTCAAGATGCGTTTGTCTGGGGTGCCAAGGAATTGACTGAGTTGACTTACAGAATAAACAATGTCTGGACGAGTGACAGTCAGATATAGTAGCCGCCCAATAAGTCGTCGGTAGGAAGAGGCATCCACTAGGGGGCTATCATCGTCCGGTCGGAGCTTTAAATTCTGTTCCATAGGGGTTTGACTAGGGCGACCTGCCAAAAGACCACACTCTTCCAAAATGTCAAGAGTGTACTTTCGTTGACTCAAGACAAAGCCTTCAGGGGAGCGAGCAACTTCAATACCGAGAAAGTATTTAAGTTTTCCCAAGTCTTTGATACTGAATTCGGTATCCAAATACCCCTTTACCATGTTAATATGAGTAATGTCATTTCCAGCTAGGATCACATCATCTACGTAAATGAGGGCAAAAGTCGTAACAAGGCCCTGTCGGAAGGTGAAAAGTGAATAATCTGCTTGGGATTGACGGAAACCAATTTTGGTGAGAGCTTGAGTGAATTTATGATACCAATTACGGGATGCTTGTCGTAACCCATAAAGAGATTTTTGTAACTTGCAAACGCGGGTGTCACCAACTTTTGCGAACCCTTATGGAATACGCATGTAAACATCTTCAGAAAGATCACCATGAAGAAAGGCGTTATTGACGTCCAGTTGATGTACTACCCATTTGCGTTTGGTTGCAACTGCCAGAATACAACGAACGGTAACTAATTTGGCAACTGGAGCGAACGTCTCATGAAAGTCAACTCCCTCAATTTGTGTGAAGCCTTTCGCTACCAACCTAGCTTTGTAACGCTCCACATCTCCATCAGGTTTATATTTAATTTTATAAACCCATTTAGAGTCAACAACTCTTTTTCCCGGGGGTAATTGAACTAAATTCCAGGTCTGATTTTCTTCTAATGCATTGATTTCTTTTCTCATTGCTTCTCGCCAAAGAGGATCCTGTACAGCTTGTGAAAAATGTTTTGGCTCATCACGTGACGTGATGGCTGCCAAAAAAGCTTTATGTGTGGGTGAGAATTTTTCATAACAAATGAAATCACAAAGAGGATATACCGAATGGGCACTGGACTGTGAATGATCGAGTGATGGAGGCAAATTGATTTCATAATTATCAAGATGTTTCGGTAGTCTTCGATTCCGATCACTCCTCTTTGATTGAAACAAAGGTGTAAAGCATGAAGATGGGACACTGGGACCGGCGGGTAAACTGGGTCCAGGTGCGTCAATTGATTGATGTTCTGTGGTGAGTGGAATGGCACTTTCAGCCTGTAGCTCATTAATTGTTTTAGAGCTGGGACCATATTGGTCTGATTCACGTACATCCGGAGCCACAACGAAGGGTCGCTGCAGCTGTTCATTGTGGGGTAGCCGCTCCTCAGGCGGTGCTAGGTTGGTCGGTCCAGCTGGTGTGGGCACGTCGTCCAGCTGAAGTCTTTCTGGTGAGTCACGCGCAGGAGTCCACATATGTCCAGAAATTCCATGAGGTGTTTGCTTACGGAGGTCACTCGATTCTACGAGTGTGGGTCCGCTGGTATATTGTTGAATATGTTGCTGCCTTCCAGGTTCGTGAACCTCATTCTGTGGCTGATTTCTTTGCACTAAAGTGGGGTCATGATTAATTTGCCCATCTTGTTCTCCATGGGTCATTATTGAGTGACGAAAATAATTCTCTCTTGAATTGACATGCTGTAGTGGAGGACATCCATGATTTATTGTGTGGTTGTAAACCTTTTGAATAAGTGATGAGAACTCAAGCTCCTCATTGAAGGTAATTTTAAAAGGGAATTTATCTTCATAAAACACCACATCTCGAGAGCTGTAAACTGTCTGTTTTTGCAAATCAAAAATCCGATAAGCCTTTTGACCATTAGGGTAGCCAATAAAAATGCCAGGACTCCCCCTTTCACTAAATTTATCCTTTCGTTTGTTATCATGTCCATACGCCAAACAACCGAACACCCGTAGATGATCATAACTAGGCACTTTTCCAAACAACATTTCAAAAGGACTTTTGTTAAGAATAACTGGTGAGGGGAGTCTATTAATAATATAAACAACAGTTAAAACACATTCTCCCCAAAAATTAATAGGCAATCCTGATTGGAAACGAAGCGCCCTTGCAACTTCCAATATGTGTCTATGTTTACGTTCGACAACCCCATTCTGTTGCGGTGTGTCAGTGCAGGACGTTTCTAATAATATCCCACTGCGTCCATAAAAATCAACTAAAATGTTTGTCTGGAATTCCACACAATTATCGGCTCTTATTCGTTTGACCTTTTGCTCAAATTGAGTATCAACCATGTTGCAAAATTGGATTAAAAGCTGTGGGACTTCGGATTTATTTTTCATTAAATAAACCCAAACACCTCTAGTAAAATCATCAACAATAGACAGAAAGTACCGTGCTCCGGAGATTGAATCGCATCTATAAGCTCCCCAAATATCACAATGTATCAATTCAAAGCACCGAGTTGTCTTAATTGCACTTGTAGGAAATGGTAGCCTGGTCTGCTTAGCTCGAACGCAAGGATCACATAAATTATTGTCTCGCCGGAAACCCTTGAGGGAACTAATGTGATGTAACTTTCCATCGGATGCATGACCCAAACGTTGATGCCACAAGTCGGGGGTAATACAGACTGACATTGCTACCCCTTCTTTCCTTGGGGATTCCAGAAAATAGAGACCGTCATGGAATTTACCCACGCCAATTAATTTTCTTGTGGATAAATCTTGTAAAACACAGAAATCTGTGAAAAATGTTAGTGTACAATTTAGATCGCTTGTTAGGCGACTAACCGAAAGAAGGTTGCACTGGAATTTCGGAATGAATAAGACGCGCTTAAGGTAAAGCCCATTTGGTAAGTATAAACTACCAATAGCATGGACCGGAATAGATTCACCATTAGAGATTCTGACCGACGACGGCTCAGGTGTGAGATTGATGATATTAAAAAAATTAACATCACTGCAAGTGATATGTTCGGTAGCTCCGGAATCAATTATCCAAGGACGAGCATGTGGCAATTTATATGCCATATTCACTTGTGAAGAGAAAGAAATTTGGAGAAGAGTTTAATTGATGTATGAAGAAGAGTTTAATATATGGAGAGATACTTCTGCTTCGTATCTTTATTGAACAATGCATATGCCATATTTATAGCATACATGCATGGCAGATGATTACAAGAGAGAGAATACAACTTGCATGGGTCATGCAAGTAGGCATGCAGTACAAGCCAAATTATTACATGTGTGATAATATATAATAAGAATATAATAAGAATATTAAAAATACCAAATATCTCAATAACTTTAGGGAAGTCTTTGGTTTCCTAATTTGAACAATAATTGGTATGTTGTATTTTTATCGTTTCCAATCTCTAACTGCTTAAATTTCTGAAAACAAATATTTTGTCATAGTGATTCCTTTAGAACACTAATTGGGTGGTTTTAACTCTGTAATTTATATATACTACAAGCTCTAAAAAGGTGTCTCCATCCATGTGATTATTTGGTGATGAAGTGAATGCAGTGGAAGATTATTTTGGGAATGATGGATGGGTGAGAGGGCTATTTGGTACAATAATTGGAAACACAATGTGAAGACTGAATTCAGATTATTTGTTAAGGTAGAGTTGATAGGTGTGTGTAGGACACACAAAAGATGATATCTATCTATATACAAACCAAGATGGAAAAATGGCCAAAATTCCCTCTCAAAAACGTCACTATCACATGGTAAACAAATTGGTATTGATTGCATTGGAGCTTTACAAAGCTCTACCCTAAAAGTCTAAAAGATTAGCCAAAGGTTATTTGGTTTACTCCGTATAATGTATTGCATCGGCTTTGTGTCTTTGGAAGAAGAATTGAAAGTAAAAAGGCTGCATACCTACTGCTTAGATACTCTAACAAGCTCGACCCTAATATGACTGCTATGAAAGTACAAAGGCTGCCCTAGATACAAATACAAAGGTATTGCTTAGATACCTATTAACAACGTTTGTTAAAGAAACTTCTTAATTGCATGGTTAATAAAACATTTTTCTTAATTCATTGTTTAAAAAATGTTTTTCAGAGAATTTATACTTCCTACGTGCTAATTAAAATTGTCCAGAAATTAAAATTTAAAAATTTGTCTAGAATTGATTTTTTTTTTTGAACTCAAAAAAAAAATTAAATTGATTAAATATATGTATAAGAACGATTATTTAAACAATATTTTAATAAGGTAATTTGAGTATATTTTGAGAAAAAGTTTTGATGAGTATATAATAAATTGGGACGTTGATGATAATTGTTATGTTTAAGATATAGGTAGTATTTTTTAATATTTAGTGATTAATTTGTCATTTGTAAGAGTTAATTGTTTCCTAAAAAATAAATGAGAACCTTTAGTTGGTGTATCTAAAGAAGACAAGTGAGAATCTTAGAACCCTTTTGGTAACACTAAAATCGACTGAATTGCTGATTCTGTTGAAATTTATAAAGTTTTGACTGAAGTGATTGTATCGACCGATTCTACTGATTTATGAAAAAATTATATATAAAATATATTTTATTAATAAAATAAAGAAAAAATATATATGAAAAATAGCTAAAATGGTAAATTCAGCCAATACAGTCAGAAAAGTAAATTCACCCTTAATTTTTCTTATTATTACACAATTCAGCGAGCGAAATCAAAAGTTACGTGTTTGGTTAAAAAGTTGGCTGACAAGACGAAAAACTGAGTCACCAAACGGATGGAGTACTTTATACAAAAGTGGTAAATCTTTTGGTATTATTAAAGTAGGAGAGTTGCCAATAATGGCGTTAATATACAAGGTGTAGGAAAGAGAATATATAAATAAGAGGAAAGTAATGAAAAAGTAAAAATAGAAAGTAATTTATTATTAAAAAATAAAAAAAAAAGTTAAAGGTAAAGAGTGAATGTACAAAGGTATTTTGATAGGAGAAAAACTTACTAACAACAAGAAACATGGACAAATAATAATAAAAACATCTTAAATCATAATAAGGGACTACTAATAAAAAAAGTACGAATTATAATTTTATCTTCTATTTCTATTTCAAACAAATAAATTTCACTACTCTATTTTTTTCTAAAAAATACTCCATGTTATAATGGAATTTAAAGTTCTTTCATTAATTCTACTATTTGAGATAACTAAACTTATTTGTTAGGCTACGTGTTGCCTTTCATTTTAGACTATGTTTTTAGTACTAATAAAAAGTAATGATACTTCCCGTCCCATTTTAGTTGTCATACGTTCCTTTTTGGATTGTCTTAAAATAAATTTTCTATTTCTCTTTTTGATTAGAAATACACGGTTCTTATCATTTAACTTTATTTTACTAAAGTTAATAATCAAACACAACTTTTATTTTTTAATCATTTTATTAATAATTGTGTCAAACTAAAACACGACAACCAATATGGACGATAGCACTACATAAATAGGTTTAAATATATACATGATGTATGTTTGCCCATACATATGTTATACTCCGGGATATATAAATTCAAATGAAAAGTATTCTGGAAATGAGAGCCTATATATAGAGTGTTTTATCGCTTCAAAATGTGTGAGGTAGATCAATTTTGATGCAGTAATTCAGTTGTATTCTAAAAAGATAATACTCCATATTCAATAACTTCATGTCCGTGCAACGCACGGGTGATAATCTAGTTATTTAGAGAATATGGTGGAAGTTACTAAATGGTGTGATTATTAGGTTTTTTTAATGTGGAAATGATTTGGCAGTGACTGACCACGTACAATCAGATTAGCTGTTGGGAGAATGTAATATGGGTGTCGCTGGTGTTAGAGTTGTGCAAAAGGAACATGAAGAAGTATTGTGAAAGTAGAGCTCCAATTATTATCATTGATCTTGTATATTTTTAATAGTTTCCTATCAGTATTAGTATTCTATTTTAGTTAATATATTTTCAATAGCAGTAGTGTAATAGATTTAGGATAACTGTAATACTTGTTCACAAAGGGAGTGTAACTTGTATGAAATCAATAATTTTATATATTATTCCTTAGAGTCTTAACTAGGCCTGGCACCACTCGCTCTTGCCTTGGGTGGGGAAGTTCTTAATCGTTATTACTCTCAATATTCTTCCTCTTCATCTCTTAATCACGTTCGTAATGGAATGGACATGGATGCTCTCATGGACATCATCTGGATGTTTGAAAGTAAGTTGATGGTAGTTATTTCTCTACCACTTGAAGTGATGTGTTTAATTTCCCTTATGTCATATTACTCCTGAAACTTGCATATTTGGTTGCTCTCATATACGATTTATGAGTTTTCCTTTACTGGTTAAAATGATGGTATAGGTTGGAGTTACTGGATACTGCATGGGTGGTGCCCTTGCCATTGCAAGTTCTGTTTTAGTATCTGGTGTTGATGCTGTTGTAGCATTCTATGGAGTCCCTTCTTCTGAGCTGGCAGACCCTGCCAAGGCTAAGGCACCTGTGCAGGCTCATTTTGGCGAGGATGATGGTTTTGCTGGATTTTCAGATATTAAGGTATTATAGAAAACCTCATTATTTGGGTCAATCTTGTAGATTTTCTAATTTTTCATATCCTTCTATTAATCTATAGCATGGGCTGGCTTGCCAAAAAAGTGTAGACTGATAAAGTCAAAAATGAAAAGAAATCTCAGGTGCTTAAGGTATTATTGTTATTATTATCTTTAAAGATTGTGCCTTTCAGAATATCATCACAAACTTGCAGAATGTTATGAACGTTGATAAAATACTCTTAAAAAGAAATAGGAATACTAGTATTTCTTTGAACATAAGGGAGTATGAAATACTGAATAGGGTCTTTTTCCCAGGCTGGGAAAGAGTTGGAACAGAAGCTGCAGGAATCTGGAGTTGAACATGAGGTGCATTTCTATCCAAAGACTGGGCATGCATTTATGAACATCTCCTCCGACGGGGTACAAAGGAGGAGAACCATGGGAGAGTCTGATGTTGAGAATGCCACTGTAGAGCTGGCCTGGTCTCGTTTCCGCTCATGGATGAACCATTTCCTGTCCCCTGCCTGAATAAACAGTAAATTACAATGCCTTTGTTTGAAGTTATCAACAGTAAGTAGTAGTATGGAGTTGGCCAACAATCTTGGTACTATAAAGTAGTTGCCGTGCCAAATGCTTGTTTGGGGTGTGCCTTGCTATGGTATTGTACTCATGCTTTCTGTACTTCGGCTGGGCAAAATGTGCCTTTTGATTGTTTATGAGTTAATATAAGTATAGAACTGGGCCGGGGAGTGGGGGGGGGGGGGGGGGGGGGGGGGCTGCTGCTGCTTATATTAGTATCTTACTCGTTAGTTTCTAGACAAGTGCCTAAGAGGGTGTTGTTTCTTTCACATTTAAAATCCATTATCCATTCCTAGAAATTTTAATAGGTCCTATTAAGAAAAACCAGCACCTGAAACTCCTGAAAGTAGGGGTGGATTTGGGCTGGGCCGGGCCCGAGTCGGGCCTAGGCCCGGGTGACCACCGGGTCCGGGGCCAGGCTGGGCCTCGGGTCAATTTTTTTGCCTTTTCCTAATTAACACCCCTCCCACCCCAAACCACCCCAAATGGCCCAAAATACCGAGCCCAACCCGAAAAGTTAAAAAAAATGAAAAAAATATTAAAAAGCCCGGAACCGGGCCAGAATCGGCCGGCCCGGTTCGGCTTTTGGGTGACCCGAGCCTGCACCGGGAACCCCTCGGGTCGGGCCTACCCGGACCGGTCATTGGCCGGGCCACCGGGTTGGGTCGGTTTAGCACAGTGCTGGTTCCGGGCCAAGCTACCCGGCCCGAGTCCCCTCTCACTAGGCCTCTCCTAGGTTGCTCCCTCTTCCCCCTCCTCAAGCCCGGCGCCACCACCAACGGCGGTGGCTGTCGCCGGAGCCCTCCTGGCTCCGGTGGGCATCTTGGTTTCAGATAGATTTTTGGAAGTAATCTCACCACTTCGGTGGTTGGATATCTGGGGATGGCTCGTGAACTGCTCGTGGATCTGGTTCGTCCGGTGGAATCTCGTCTGAAACTGCACACTCCAACCAGAAGGGCTGCTAGCCTGCTAGTAACTTCGGGTGCTGGTCGGGGGGTTGGGACGAAGAAGAACAGGTCCTTATTGGAAGTTTGGGTGGAGGGTGGTTGGACTACACTCAAGGATCTGTGCTCGGTGGTCTCATTTGAAGGTCTAGTATAATGAAGGTATGGTTGGTTTTTTCGTCCTCTTACTTGTCCTCTCTCCTTTCTTTTTAATCTAGCTTAGCCAAGGTTGCTTCGGCGACCTAGACACATGGACCTTCATGGCCTTGGCCACCTTCTTGTCGCTGGCTGTCTCTGCGTCTGGGAGGTGAATGAAACTGTTGGCCGAAGTTTCCTTCCGGTACCACCCTCCCTTGACGTGCCTCGGTGAACACCTGATCCCAAGTCAGTAATGCCGGCGTTGGTTGGAGCTTCACGCTCTCACCGGCCTCGAGGTCAAATGGAGTAGGCTGGGTTAAGGGTGTGGTTTGCATCTAGAGCTCTGTAGATCCTCCATCGCCTCGTTCTTTGGCCGCCGCCACCTGCCGAGGACAAGTCTCTGGTGTTCGCAGTAGAGGGCCGTAACGGTCGGGCGTTGGGTTGGGCTGGTTGTAGTGGGATTCTACAGGTGGTGTGCGGTGCCCAGGAAGCCCATAGCTGCACGGAAGGGGTCCTGGGCTCCACGGGGGGCTTGACGGAATCAGATTGACCACCTTACCAGATTTGAGCTTGGATTGGTTCTTGTTGGGGTTCGCCGGTTTTCGTGTTTGATTCCGGCTACTGTTGATTCGTTGTTCTAAGTCCTGCACCAATGCCGTCGGGGGTCGTCGGGGATCTACGGGGGTGTAGGATGGAGAATGGGGCTACATATTGGCAGCTATACGTTTTTGGCTACTGTCAACGCCGTCGGGGGTTGAAGGTGGCAGGTGGATCGTCGATTAGCTTGTTTTCCTCTCCGGGTGGATCTTTGCCCTCCTCTCCGAATGTCGGACTGCCTCGGAGACGCCGGAACCCAGATGGGGTGGTGGGGGTGGGGGTGGGGGGGCTGGTGGGTCAGGGGTGTTGGTTTGCCGCTCAACTATGCGGCGCCCCTGCGTAGCGATGGATGGGTTTCGGCTGACCCGGAACATGGCCAACCCTAGCCCGCTGGAGTGTGTTGTGGACCTGGGTTGGATTCGGGCCTGGACTAGTGCGGACAATACTGGGCCTCCCCCATTGGTTCGCTGATCTGGACATAGGAAGCTGGGCTTTGATGTTTTGTTTGGTTGGTGGCGGGTACTAAGCTCTGGGCCCAAATGCAGTCTTTGGGTTGGACCTTGGCTGATGCATGGATTGCTCCATACGAAATGCGGGTTGGAGCTTTGGCTTGGTGGGCTGTTGCTGGACTCTAGGCCTGTGCTACTGCTGGTTTTTGATGGGCCTTCGGGTTCTTGGACTGGTTCTTCATGGGCCAGTTCTTTTTTGGTTACGTGACTTGTTTTGATACGAGCTGGGGCCTATCCTTGTACTAGCTTTGATAGTTTTGATACATTGTACTATCGTATATGTTATTTGTGGGTGTTTTTAATATAATTACCTTTCATCCAAAAAAATTAATAGGTCCTATTAATACTCTAAGAGTCTAAGCAACTTTTGTAAAACCGCATTTTAATTAAATGAGTAAGTACTTGCATAGCTGATTGCCAAGTGAAAAACAAAAACTTGGCACCTCATTTAAATATGAAAAATCCACAAATAAAAATAAAACGGTTTGAAATTCTAAAATGAGAATGGTTAAACCAACTATTTAACAATTCTTTTAAACATATATGTGTGGTCCCTCACACAATGGATTTTGCTAGGGTTTTAATTATTTTTATCTCTGAAATTCTAAAATGACTGTCAAATTCGTAGATAGGCACAAAACCTTTCAAGTGAAGAGGATCTCTGCCTATGCAAATGCTTTATATCACAATATCTATTCTATAAGTTGATGCAAAAGATATACCATTACCGACCACAACTGTTACTGCAAATATTTGGGACGCAAATAAGTCTTTGAGAGTTATATATCTCTCCAAGAATAATACTTCGTATAAAACATCTATAATTGGGATCCTCTATGTTTTCCTTTTACCAAATTAGTTAATAGAACTATAGAAGCCCTTAAATGAGTAAAGCATGTTTGGCATGACTTGCGCGTGACTAGTGTGTAACTCAAATCCAGCACATGTAAATATTTGCCTCTTCTTGAGGACTTGGAACTCGCGTGTTGTAATCCATTATATAATTGCACTTTGGAGAATATAATAACGATGGAGAAGCCCATGATAACTGTATTTGCTTTCAGTCTTATTGTAATCTGTGCTAAAACCGGAACATTTATTTGATGCGGTGGAAGTGTGGAACCGTGAGAGTTTGGAACTCATGTGTTGTTTCATTATTTGGGATGTTCCCAACTATGACTTTGATGGATTTTAAATGATTGTGGATTTTGAAATCCAGAGGAAGTTTACAAGATTGTGGTGGAATGTTTTTATATATAGAAATCCACCAAAATCCGTTGAAATCCATGTAAATAAGTAATAATAGAAATCCATGAAATGTTTGAAAAATTTTCATAGATTCCACGAAAATCCAAATTGGGTACACCTAAATTCTGACGGAATCATAAACTCTATTAAAATCCTCCGTACCCAGAACTGGCCCGGGACCGGTACTGTTCCAGCCCGACCCGACCCAGTGGATTTCCGGTTCGGGCCAATTTTTTTTTTGGTTTTTTTCATTTGTTTGGGCTCCACCGGGTTGGGCTTGATGTTTAGGAGGGGTTTGGGGGGTTTGGTGGGGTGGGGGTGAGGGGGGGTCAGGGATGGGTAGCTAAGCAATAAAAAAATTAACCAAACCCGAGGCCCGGCCAGGACCCAGACCGGACCCGGTGGCTACCCGGGCCGGTCCCGGGTCCAGCTATATAGAACCGCCGGCCCGGGCCCGACCCAGCCCGAGTCCAACCATAATTTCACTTCAAAGTTGTGAAAACTCATTTATTTCTCCAAGAAAATGATTTTAATATGCTGCTGCCAGTAATGAGGCTTTGGGATGGGGTGCATGACTGCATCCTCAAAAAACAATCATTGTCAATGAGAATATGAGATATCAATGAAGCTCCCCACCAAAAAAACTAGCATAGGGGCCTAAAGGCATTCTAAATTTCTCATTCATATGAACTCCAGCCCCAGCCCCGGGCCCCGGGCCCCAGGCCCTCCCCAAAAAAGATGCTTAATCTGTTGCCGCTACTACTAATACTGCTAATGACTACATGCATTTATATGTAAATCTTCTCAGTTGTTGCTACTTCTTCAAGTGAAAAGGAATCTTAGGTCCGCCTCTGTTAGCTTTCCAATTGCATCCGATGAACCACCCACCGTCCTGTAAAAATAATCTCCAAAAAAGGGAGAAAACAATCACACGTAGATATGGGGAAAGGAAAAAACAATCACACGTAGATATGGGGAAAGAAGAAAAACAATCACATAGTTGACTCCACTATGATCCACTATATTCATTATCAAAATGAAATGGTTATTATGAGCGACACAGGCTATATGACTCGATAATGTGCACATATAACTAAATAGTATAGCGAAAATGACTTTCATTGGGATTGAACATTGGAGAATCTAAAACTTACCCTTCAAAAACAAGTTCTTTCTTCTGTTGCAATTTCAAGATCCTTTCCTCAACCGTGTTCCCTATGACAAATCTCACAATTCTAGAAATGTCACACCAAAAAAAAGATTAAGTTAGTTAGTTTACCGGAACATAACCCTCCATCATTATCCAGCAGAAGAGGAAACCAATACCCAGTAACACACCTTATGGGTTTGTATTGTCCTATCCGGTGGATTCTATCCTGAGCTTGCCTCTCCACAGCTGGATTCCACCAAGGATCCATCAGGAACACCTGACCTCACCAATTCAATGTGAGAACCCAAATGTGATTGATTGCTCTCACAAAGTAAAGGATATCGAGAAAATCAGAAAATCAGTAGTGTGCTACTCACATTTGATGCTACAGTAAGATTTAGAGCAACCCCTCCAGCTTTCAAACTCATAAGGAATATTCTGCACTCTGGGTCATCTGTAAATTTAGTGATGGCAGTTTCTCTTGCGGCCATAGTCATTGATCCTACCAACTGGACACAGCTTACACCCGACTGGGAAGAAGGAAGACCACAACAACAAAATATTACTTTTGGCTGTGTACCCTATTTAAGTTTTAATAATCAACACAGACAGACTGTATAAAGGGGCATACCTTGTTCAGAGAATAATGTATCAAATCCAAAAATGAAGTGAATTGGCTGAAAACTATTGCTTTCGCAGATCCATCTCTTTCCACCATCCATCTTATTTCTTCCCTCTGTAGATCAACAGAATAGTTTAGTAGTACATACTGGAGTGTCCCCCCCATTCATTCTTATTGAGAAAATAATACCAACATGCAAATATTGCTACTCACGAGAACCACTTGTTGTTTCTATACTATAATACTCCATGTATTCCTGTTCATGTCTCTTCATTGACGAAATTCATTAATCCATTGTTGTTTTTATAATATACTCCCTCCATTCCCCTATTTATCTGTCTTCAATGACCAACTTAGTTTGTTCCTTCTTACTTGTCCTTTTATGAAATCTATGCATGTTAAATATGGTTTTTCTTCTTGAATTTACCCTTCTCCTTTTATGAAAAATAATAATTAAAACGGTATTAAGCACCAACTTTCAGTTAAACAAGGGCATTTTACATAAGCTAAAAAAATCTTAACTAATTTATCATTCTAATGCATTTTCTTAATCTTTGTGATTTGGTAAGAAAGATAAATAGTAACAGATGGAGTACTTTGGAAGGGCGTTGAAAAAATAAAGCTAGTGAGAAAGAACAAAAAAACAAGATACCGAGGTGGGAGGGTTGAAACATACCAAGGCATCTATTTTTGTACTAGTCTGGAATTCATTCAGACAAATTCTGTTCAGTATACTTGAGGCCCTAAATCCCTTGATTGTAGTTTTCATATTTGTATCTCCTCCGTAACCACTGGTGGTACAAGATAGATCAACTGTGAGGGGCTTGGAACAGGAAGGGCATGAACCTTGTGCAATACTGGAAGAGAACTCCACCATACAGGTTCTGCAAAACGTATGCGCACACACTGTGACCTGTAACCAAGTGGAAACAAGTTCATGGCCCAGCTTAATAATCTGCATTAATTATACTATCAGCTGAAATCAAATCATTGCATTTTCTAACCACATTAATCTTTCTGAAAAACTTAGACTAGACGGCATTATAAGCCATTAGTATAATGGATATGCCCTAATTAAGAGTAAGCACTTGTGGCTTAATATTTAAATCAGACAGAGAGGAGAAACAAAACCCAACAAACATTACCACGGGATCTTCTACTGGGTCATGACATAGGCCACAAGTTTGGTCAGCATTACTAGCCCCTACCGCATCCTCACGCCTTGCCATAGCAGTGCTAGAGTATACAACAAGGTAAGGGTGATCAACTGCCTACGATAAATGAAAGTGTAACCAAGAATCAGGACATAATATTTCACTCCCAAAAGTGACTGCTCAAAAAAAGTGCACACATAATAAGGGTCTACGTCTCTACGAACCTGTCTCAATCTTGTAAGAAGTTCAAATATGTGTGCATAGTTGTTCATCAAAGTTCCTTCCTGAATATATCTGTTCTTAATAAAGCACAACAGCATTTAGTTACGAATCATTGATCCTCTTAATCTTCTCCTTTTCTAATTAAGAAGCATAAGCTAAAATAAAAACGTACTCCCTCCGTCCCACAAAATAGTTCCCAGTTTTCTTTTTGGGCCGTCCCAAAAAATAGTTCTCATTTCCCCTTTTGGAAAGTTTTGTGTGGCTACAATTCATTTACCTTTTTCTTACTCATACACAACCATACATTTCCACTTTATTCCCACTTTCTTAAACTCCGATCCAAATCCTAGTGGGAACTATTTTATGGGACGGAGGGAGTAATAATCTTATCTCACATACAAGCTTTCACATTTAAATAAAAGGAAATATTAAGTCTCCTCCACTTTCTCTATCCTTCATTATATGTGTACATATTTGTCTTTGCCAGAATGCAGCAAAATCGATAACAATTACTCTGCTCCTTAGTGTGTCGTGTGAGAGAGAGCAGTATGTGGGCATATAGAATGGAAATGCTAACCATCCAAATTCCAGTTGTTACAGCATAACAAATGATCTTGGTTTAATTAGCTTAGATTGGGAAAAGTGCATAATTTTCAGTGTCACCAGCCACAAAAGCTATGTGCCATAGGCCCATAGCCACCAAATGTAATGCTATTATAAAAGGAGCAAAAAAACAAAAAACAAAAAAACAAAAAACAAAAGATCGATGCAGGCATTACGTAGGAGGAGAATGGTTAAACAGGCAAGATTTACCGTCTAATTTAAGAATACATGTTTAAAAGAGAGCATTAAAGTGCATACGTATTAAATTGAGCCTGACTCTCATTATACAGTGATGTGTAGTAATCTTCTTCTTTGACATCTAAAGAATCTCGCCTCAGTGTCACCTGAGAAAATAATCATATATAACTTGATGATGAAAACATGGTAAATTTAATGGTGGCAGTACATCACTAGTACAGCTTCTGACTTACAATCCTTGGGGGAAGGGCAAGATCAGCAGCCCTTCCCTTTTTAGTACGTCTTAGCAGAATGCTTTTGAGGATTTTGTGCTTCAACAATATCATAGCATCTTTACCATTTCCAGAGTTTCCTTCAGCTTGTATTGGAGAGGCAATATGCTTGAATATAAGATATAACCAAAGACCATGCGTAAGAGCTCTGCTCTTGAGAGAAATATATCAACTAAGAGATGCATGATACATTACTATCCATACACTTACCCGATTCCACCAACAAAAGTGTCGCACAGATTTGTGAGGACAATGTGGGCAGTCCTGAGAAGAACTACGGCCAAATGATAGTGAGAACAAATTATAAGCAAACACATAATGCAATAATAAAAATTTTAAAATGAGTTGCAGTTGATAATATAATACAATAGTACAAATAAAAGAAATTGTGTCCCAAATTATTTCAACATGAACAACAGTTAACAGAGTGAAAAGAAGTAGTCTTCTTTATTATTTTCCGTTAAACCGCACTATGTAGCATTTTAGTACAAGACTTACTTAAAAACCATGACAGGAGGATATCTCGTTACAAAAAATCCAGCCTTAGGGCCAGACAAAAAATCAAAAGAAACCTGAGTTTTACCTGTAATCAAGTGAACTACAATCACAATCTTTACAAAAGTAAAATGAATAAGGAACCATCTGTAGAAACCGGACCTGTGAAAAGGAAAGCTGCCCGATCAGACTAACACTTTGGTGGCAGTTCTACTAACTTGCAAAATAGACTTACAAGTGAGTACAGTTCTCCAACGCGATTCTGTAGGGGCGTTCCACTCAAGGCCCACTTGTAGGAAGACACTAAAGAAAGAACAGCTTTTGTAGTGTTAGAGCGTCTATCTTTTATATAATGGGCCTGCAACACATAGATGCAGTCAGATAAGTTACATAATGCTACTATAAGCAATGACAATATTGAATTAATAGTTATGTTGAAATAATGTGACAGTTGAGGAGCTGCATTGTCCATAAGATTCAATAGAATGCATAATACTTGAAATGACCAAAGTAATGTTATACTAGGTTTTCGTAGTCAATTGCTGAATTGCCAAATCACACTTGGTCACTGACCATTGGATCAATTACTTCTACAATTTGTTAACATTGTAAAAGATTAGTAACTCAATACATATGCACCAACTGAAAAACAGAGACAATACTTAACAATAAATCACCATCATTAAACTTCAGATGACACCACAGACAATACACATGTCCCTAACAGGTGAGGGATGTGATACCAATCCTCAAAGAGAATCATGAGTATAAATTGAAAAAGAAAGAAAACAATGGACTATAACGAACCAACTCACCTCATCCAATATTATGCGATTCCAGTTCACAGAATGCAATATTGATTTATCTCCAGATACGTCTTGTTCTTCATTTTCTATTTCCTCCAAAAGGTCATCATTGTCCTTGTTTTTTTTGCCCTTTCTGCGACCTCTTTTCCTTGCATTACCCTCAAAATCACTGTTTTGCTTATCCTTGCCTGTGTCACACTCTGGGGAGACTTTCAGATCAACATTGTGTTTCTTTTTCTGTTGCTTCGACTGTTTAGCAGTTTTAACAGCATATGGTCCACAGAAATATTTCTGGTGAATGGCCATTCTTTTTTCATTATAAGCTTTTCCACACCACTCGCATCTCTGTTTTGGAGGCATCACATTTTTCCTATAGTCAGCCTCAATAGTGGAGTAAGTTGTAATGACGAAGTCATATCCAGAGAGACTGTCAATGTTTTTTGCCCTGTTTGTTCCATGATAGACCAGCACTTTGCTGCTGCCCTTCATGGTGAAACGATCAATCTCACTAACCCACTGCATCACGGCAACCAACGGGCAGATTACAAGAGTACCCTTGATTGATGGCAAATCATGCGGAGATGTAGTGGGAAAAGATGAGCCACTATGTTCACCAATAGCATTCTTCAGTTCGCGCTTGGCCAACACAAGTGCTATTGCTTGCACTGTCTTTCCCATCCCCATTTCATCAGCTAGAATACCCCCTTTGGAAGAAGATTCTTCTTGCTTCAAAGCCCATGCCAACCACTCCTTTTGATATCTCAACAGGGGCATTGTCAATTCTGAAGGTGTGTCAGCCGTTTCAAACACCACCTCATTCTGGTTATCAAAATCCACATCCGTGGTGAAGTTATCCACAAGCCACTTGTCATCCTCATCATCCCACACTTCCCACAGTAATACTGGTCTGTTTTTTCTCCTTCTTGTACTTTTCTTCTTCCTTTCACTTATCCTGTTCAGCAATTCGATGAAATCAGGCATGTTTGAATAAGGACCATCCATGGGACCTTTACTATCATCCACCACCTTTTCATTCTGTAGTTTTTCTTCCTTGAATTCAGTATCTACTTCTGACATCCCTCTTGTAGATCCAACCTTCCTCCGCTTATGATTCTTCGATAAAACTTCATGGTCGATGACCTCATCATCACCATTTACACGGAAACCTTCCAATTCCCTCTCTTCCAAAACATTGACATGCTCTTCATCTGCAAAGAGTCATCATCCATCACAACAGATATCAGGATATATATATATATATATATATATATATATATATATATATATATATATATATACACACACACACACTACCACCTCAGTAAATTAAATCATTGACTTCACGTGCAAGCATTTGAGTGTGGGTTCGGGGGCGTTACTTAATAATGCACAAGATGAAGGTTATTGAAATCATCCTATACGGCCCATCCAGTTGTTAAGAAAAAAGCATGGCCCCAAAAACAACAGTGAAAAGGTACAATTGATGGTGTTCTGACTATACCTTCTCTGGCAAGATATTCAGAATCAGAAGAATCAGAAGAAGCCATGATAGTAGCATCGTTATCAGATAACTCGTCATCATGCGAAGATTGCGAACCCTCTGCTCCTGCTTTTACAGCCAAATATAGGCACATGGAGAGATTTTAATCAAATAAATTCTTAATTTATTACTTGACCATCATGCGTTCTACAGGAGCGAAGTTAACTACGAAAATAAGACCCCAAAGATGAACTAAATTCAACAGAAGCAACATGCACAAGCATACAGAGACAGTTTAATGATGATTTGTTACTTAAAATATGTCAAATTAGAGATATACCATCCACATGAGGACGAAATTTCCGAGAGCGAAGCTTCATAGAGAGAAACGGAAAATGAATCGCCTGCAGATTAGGGTTTTCGCTATGAAGAGTGTTTCTACTCAGAGGAGAAGCCAACAGTCATGGGGTGAAGGGAAATTACAATTTGTGCGGCGGGAAGGTGGAGGATGACGTGGATCGTGCAGTTTTTTCGAGGTGTTACGGAGTATATTATACTCCCTCCCATTGTGAGAGAGAGTACCAAACAATGCCTTATTTGCCTTACAAATCTACCTTAAACAATGCCAAACAGTGTCAAACAGTGCCAAACAGTGCCAAACAGTGTCAAACAGTGTCAAACTCCTTCATATTTGTGAAGTCATGTATAAAGATCTTTCAGAACCGGAGGGAGTAGACAAATAAGTGTAAGTTTCTCACATCTAAAATCTAAATACTCCCTATACGACAGTATGAATGAAGTTAGTCATCCCCACCTTACTTTGATGAGCAGTATATTCCTCCATCACAGACATATAGTTAGTTAAATACGGTACAGAAATTAAATGTGTTTTAATAAACACGTATTTTATTCGGTAATTTGACCAAAAAATACGGTCAAAAATTCGTCGAAAAATACGTTGACTTTTATAAAACGTGTAAATACGTATACGTGTGTAATACGGAATCCCATTGCTGAACGGTGTTCCCTATTTAAATAATTTGTGTAAATATTACTTTACATACACGATATTACTTATTACCATTTTCCATACGTAGTATTAAACTATTAAGAGCCCATTTGGTAGGATTGAAATTAACTGAATCGACTGATTCTATTAAAATTTATAAAATTTTGACTGAATTGACTGGATTGACTGATTCGGGTAAACTATGAAAAAATTATATATAAAATATTATTCATTAATAAAATAAAGAAACAATTATACGAAAAATAACTAGAAATGACTTCTACAGTAATTTCATCTATTTTAGTCAGAAAAGTAATGTCAGTCTTATACAAAAATTATACTCCGTACAATTCATTATAAAATCAAAAATTACATATGTAATTAAAAATTTGGGTGAAAAGATTGATAAGTCGACAAATATGGTCATCAAACAACTCTAAATTTAGCAACTACTAAAATAACGAAAATAATTGAAAATAATTGAGTACGGGTGTGTCAGATCCAAAGCATTGCAAAATGTCAGGATTCCTTCACAATATTCCAAAAGGTTGAATCCCCACCCCATGGCCCCCCACACCCGACCCGACAGGATTTTTAAGAGAATGTAAGTCACGGTAACTCAATCGACCCAATGATGATAGGTCTTATACGCGACTTACGCGTGCGCATCAGAGGTCCAGCCCAGCATGCAGGAGATGTAACTTCCACACGACCGCTGCGGGTTTCGAACCTTGATCAATGTTCCAAAATTTTCACCACTGAACCAATTTAGCTACCCGTGCGGGTTCAGGTTTCCATCACAACTTCGAATGTAATCCCTCCATTTTTGCCTTATTTTGCCAAAAAATAATGGAAAACACGTTCTCTATTTCACCAATTCATCACTTTCACATATTGTGTTCAATTTGCGTACACATTTTATCTACACCAAGAATTACTCAATATAGTTTAGTACTCCCTCCATCCAATAATTATCTCCTAAAGTACAATTGACACACAGTTTAAGACTTTAAGATAGTCGATATTGTGCGGTGAAAAGTTGTGCAGAGGAGAGAAAATGTGTAAGAATGTGTAAGAAATGATGTGAATCACAAATTCTATGCCAAAAAGAGAAAAAAGAGATAATTTTGAGACAAATGAAAAAGGGAGGTACGAAGAAACATGGTACTCCGACCGCCCCCTACTATTGGGACGGAAGAGAATGATGTGATTTTTAAGAAAAATAGAATTATGTGATTGATAATGAGTTGATAAAGTGAAAGTAAAGTAAGAATGAATTAGAGTCACACAAATGTTATCAAATATGGGACAATAACAGGAGCATCCAAAAATGGAAAAATTGGACAATTAGAGGGGACATATTTTTTATTTAGTAATCATTCCTGATGCATTTCAAATCAAATTAAACTGAGAATCGATAACCATTCGAACCAAAACTGATACGTTCAGCTAACTTTAGGGCTCTAGTGGTGTTAGCGGGGGATATCGGAAGATTCATATCCAATTTGACTATGCATTGGTTGTCAGCTTCATCTTCAAACCCCAAAAATAAAAGAATTGTAATCAGAAGTAGATTTATTGAGTGGATAAGTATATTCTTGTTAATGTGCACCATTTTTGTTGGCTATGCAGCAGAAAAATTGACTTTACACATTGCACTATTGCAGAGAACTGGGACTCCAATCAACCAATTTATGTCTTTTTGGTGATATAATTGGGATGGATTTGCAATGTTCTGATCATCAATACTGGTGTTGATCCAAGACCACAAACGGATTAAATTTTCAAGAAAGTAATAGGGATGGTTCTAACTGTACCGATTTAAAATTGGGAGAGTGTTTTGTTCAAATTGGATGATAGAATTGCACTATCAAATCTCAGATGTCAATATTGGTGTGCCCACTATGGATGTGGTCAAATTTCTTGTAAGTTGTAAACTTGTAATTAAAAAAAGTACTTCAAAAACATCATAGGCCTAGACTTCAAAAACATAATACAGATTACAGAATAATGAAGGAACATGATGAGTACAAATGCACAACTAGAACTAAATTGTAAATAACTAGAATACTATACCTAAAAGCACTACACTGGAGAGAAAAAATTATCCCGCCTAATGAAGCATTCTCCGCCTAAAATCCTAAAATGTAATTTCACTTTCCGCAAAAAACAATCATCATAAACCTAAAAGCACTACACTAGAGAGAGAAGATTCTCTCGCCTAAGCATTCTCCCCCTAAATTCCTAAAATGTAATTACACTTTGCACAAAAAAAAATCATCATCCTATAATCCTAAGTCCTAAAATGTAATTTCATCCTATACCTAAAAGCACTACACTGGAGAGAGAAGATTTTTCCGCCTAAGCATTCTCCGCTTAAAATCCTAAAATATAATTTCACTTTCCACAAAAAAAAAACATTTTCTTATACCTAAAAGCACTACATTGGAGAGAGAAAATTCTCTCGCCTAAGCATTCTTCGCCTATCCTTATACCTAAAAGCACTACACTAGAGAAAGAAAGTTATCCCGCTTAAACATTCTCCGCCTAAAATCCTAAAATGTAATTTCACTTTCCACAAAAAAAAATCATCATCATCATCTTATATCTAATCCTATACCTAAAAGCACTGCATTGGAGAGAGAAAATTATCCCGCTTAAACATTCTCTATCTAAAATCCTAAAATGTAATTTCAATTTCCAAAAAAAAAATCATCATCATCATCCTATATCTAAGAGCACTACACTGGAGAGAGAAAATTATCCCGCTTAAGCATTCTCCGCCTAAAATCCTAAAATGTAATTTCATATTCCACAAAAAAAATCATCATCATCATCATCATATACCTAAAAGCACTACACTGGGAGAGAAAATTCTCCTGCCAAAGCATTCTCCACCTAAAATCCTAAAATGAAATTTCACTTTACGCAAAAAACACATTTTATACCTAAAGACACTACTCTGGAGAGAGAAAATTTTCCAACCTAAGCATTCTCTGCCTAAAATCCTAATATGTAATTTCACTTTCCGTAAAAAAAAATCATCCTATACATAAAAGCACTATACAGGAGAGAGAAAAATTCTCCCGCCTAAGCATTCTCCGCCTAAAATCCTAAAATGCAATTACACTTTCCACAAAAAAAATCATCATCCTAAAATCCTAAAATTTAATTTCATCCTATACCTAAAAGCACTATATTGGAGAGAGAAAATTTTCCCGCCTGAGACTTCTCCGCCTAAAATTGTTAGGTTTGCAATGGCCATTAATAAGAGTCACGGAAAATCGTTGAAAAAATTTGTTATCTTACTCTGACGCCCCATTATTACTCACAAGCATTTGTACGTGGCGGTGTGGAGAGTAACAAGTTCATGGGATTGGAGTTTGTAATGACGAAGATGGAAAACCAACCAAATCAACATTGAATGTTGTTTACAAAGAAATATGTACTTTAGAGTAATTTATAATTTTCGTTATAATGTGGTGGACTTAAATGTGCATCCATTTCATCATGTGAAGTTTTACATTTAGTTCTTACGATTTATTCAGAATTTATATAATGTTTTCAAATAATTCTAACACAATCATGTTTTTTTAAATATTTTTAAATATATAACTATATCTAAATTATTATGTAGGTGTCTCACTCCCGTGCAGCGCACGGGTGGAGTAACTAGTTGAAGAAATAAAAGACTTAGATACTGGAAGCGATATTTGCAGCAGATACAAAAGCATGGATAATGTAAGTGATGTTGGTACAGAAATAGAGATGGCGATCGTACTCATAGAAACACAATCAAAGAAGAAAAAAAAGAATTTATGTGAATAAGTGCTTTAGATAGACATAAAGAATTCAAACCGTGAAGTGAAGAAGAAAGCCAATACACAAGTGTTTTTCATAAAAGTAGCAAATTCAAACTCTGAATCGAACCAACGAGGAAGAATGCAAATAGAGTTGCAATACAGAATAGGAACTAGAGGACTAACCCGATTGGGTAAGGATCGGGAATCGGGATGAATAATGGAAAGAGCGATGTTTTTTTATTGCAAAGGAGAGGTTATTTTAATGACATCACATCTCTTGGTGGCATACCATTGTTTTTAGCATATGATTGAAAAAATAGTGAAGAGGACAACTAACAGTTTGATGCCTTAAGAATTAGGATGCTTGTGGTGTGGACTTGTAGTGAAATTAGTGAAGTGGACAAAGTTATGATGTCTAGAATAAACACATAAGTGTAATAAATAAAAGTACTAAGTAATATTTAATATGTGTAGTATAAATGTTTCTTTAATTTCAACCAATTCCTTTAAAAAATTGTAACTTATGCACAAGTGTTTTTCCCACTTATCACTTATCAGCCGATTCAACTATGGCAGTGGAATGAATTGAGTTTGGTGAAAAAACTGGCACATAAGTTGAAATGTAGTGTGCCAAACAGGCCAGTACACCGACATATGAAAAAGAGAGATCTTAACTGAGCAGAGAATGCAGATTAGATACACAAAAAGTGAGAAAAACCAACAAAAAGAACACACGATTGCAGTTACCTACAT